AGGGTTGAGGGCTTAGGGTTTACGGCGTTATGGCTTAATGTGTCAGGGTCAGCGTTCGGGACATATGTTGAGAATAGAAGCCTGACTCAAAATCCAAAATCCTAGACCCAGTAACCCCAAACCCTAAAGAAGCCTAGATCCAAACCCCAAGCTCCCGAATCCGGTGCCCTCCGATCCTAGATCCTAAACGCTGAAGCTCTCAACGCCACCCTTATAGTTACTCATGCCTTTTTACTTCCAGTGATCCCCAGGGAGTTGGAACATGGATTTAGGATTATCAGTGCTAGGATCCCTTATGCTTTACCTTAAGGGCATCAGGACCATGATGTTCCAACTTAAAGGCTCTGCCTTCGGGAACCCCTGAATCCTAAACCCAAACCCTAAACCCTAATCCCCAATCCCGAAGCCCCAAACCCTAAACCCTAAATCCCTAACCCTAAACCCCAAACCTTGAGCCCTAAACCCTAAACCCTACACCCCCAAGGGAAAAACTTCAAAGTGTCCCTTTTTCAAGAAACACTCAGGTGCGACACGGGGCAAAGGCTACGGTGGCACTCCTCTTGGAGGCAAGCGCTCGGCTTCCGTGGACTTCGGATGTGTTTATGGGTGGTTGTCAAAATGAACGTCCCTTTTTGGGTCCTTATTACAATACGGCACCTATTATTTAGGGTACCCCAAAAGGGACCATAATTTTGACAACTACCCTTATGGTTTCTACAACTTCTGGGTTTGGGGTGTTGGGTTTGGGGTTTCGACGGTTTAGTGTTCAGGGTTTGTGGTTTGGGATTTAGGGTTTGGGGTGTTGGGTTTGGGGTTTCGACGGTTTAGGGTTTAGGGTTTGTGGTTTGGGGTTTGGGGTTAGGGGTTTGGGGTTTACGGTTGAGGGTTTCGGATTCGAAGAGAAGGGTTACTATTCGGGGAATCTACATCCCTGCAGCGTTTTTTCAGAAAGCCCGACGAGAATCTTTGCACCAACTCTTTCAAGACATACTTGGAACCACAACCCCCAACCACACGCTGAAGCCCTTGACAGCACCTTTTTGAACAACAGCCCCCGAAATATAGAGATCACGTTATTTCAGAAGAGTTTCCGACCAAGCCCGAAGCCCTTAAGGGAAGCCTTACAGCGTCCCTTAACTTGTCCTTATAAAACCTTATGCCCTGAACCCTAAGCCTAAACCCTAACCCTAAACCTTAAACTCTGACTACCACTTGGGGACTTTTCGACGGCATCGCGACTAAGAAGATCATGCTTCTCCCACCACAAGTGTGTGCTTCGGCAGCCGTAAAAGTCATCACACTTAAAAAGAAACCCTAAACCCTCTAAACCCTCTAAACCCTAAAACCTAAACCCTGAACCCTCTAAACCCTCTAAGACCTAAACCCCCTAAACCCCCAAAGCTCCAGGCCATGGCGGACACGGAGAAGCGGAGCCACGCCGGAGAGACGGCGCTCTCCGCAGCCCTCCTCTGGGAGCGGGCCATGAGATTTGTTTAAAATGTTTTGTTTTTAGGGGTTTTTAGGGTTTTTAAGGGTTTCTAGGGTTTTTAGGGTTTTTAGGGTTTTTAGGGTTCAGGGTTTAGGGATTTGTGTTGTTGGTTTGGGGCTTAGGGGTTTAGGGGTTTAGGGGTTTAGGGGTTTAGGGTTTAGGGTTTGGGGTTTAGGGTTTAGGGTTTAGGGTTCAGGGTTCAGGGTTTTCTTTGGGTTTTCGGGTTTCAGGGTTTGGGGGTGTAAGGTTTAGGTTTAGGGTTTAAGGCTTAAGTAAGGCTTTAGAGTTCAGGGTTTAGATTGTTTCAGAAGTTGTTTAAAGAAACCTGTTTATCTATTGTATGTGCTTTTTGTTTGTGCGTTTTCCAACTTGGATTTGGTACTGTTGCGCGTTGTAGATAATCTAGGTGTGAAATTCAAGGTTTATGTGCGGTTACATGTAGGGCTGTGTGTAAATTATTGGGGGTCGAAGCCAGTCGTACAGAAACCGCGCAACATACGGACCACCACCCACATCTTGCAATATCCCCTAATTGAGGGATATATCGAAAAGCATTACAGGATCCCTAATGTGATTTAAGAAGGATTTCCTTAGTTGGCATGAAAGGGAGGCCACCTGGGCATAAAAAGGAGGCCGAACTTGACAAGACTTCCAAAAGATTTATTGTGGTTAAGGGTTTATTTGTGGTTTAGGGTTATAGTTTATTTGATTTTTAGGGTCAAGGGTTTGGGGCTGGAGGTATTTGGGATTGCAGGAGTCTTGCTGAAGGGATTCATGACTTGGGTCGGTATATACTACCATTATGGAAGTAGGTCCCTAAACCCTAAACCCTTTTTTTGGTTTTTGGGGACCTGATTCCATAATGGTAGTATATACGGACCCTCTAGGCATGACGTGCTAGTCAAACCTTATGAAACCCTTAAGGGGTCGGGAATACTCACTACTTAGGACCTTCATGATCGAAGCTCAAACTAAGCCCTTGACCTTATACCCTAAACCCCAACTACCCCGTGAAACCTGCTCTCAAACTTAAACTCATTTCTTTCACCCTAAACCCTAAAACCCTAAACTTAGAACCATCTCTTCGCTCCCCAATCGATTTTTTCAAACCCAGGACCTCGAGCTCTACACCCCCAAACCCTGAAACCCAAAGCTTGCACCCTGAAGGAGCACTGGGAAGTTGCTCGACTGTTGATGGATGCCGGCGCAGCCAAGGAGCAGGCGCTGTGTCTGGCCTGTGCCAGGGGGCAGGCTGCCGCAGTGCAGTTTTTGCTGGATGCGGAGACGGACATCGAAGAAGGCAACTCGATGGGGGAGACCCCACTTTTTCTCGCACTCCTCCATGGCCACTGGGAGGCGCGGGGGTAATGGAGAAGTTCAAGCACGGCTCTAGCACCATTTGGTGTCCCGATCCTGAGCAGCTAAGCATGTTCAGGTGACGCGCCTCCTGACGGATGCTGGTGGTGACCTCAGTTGACGATCGCTTTGAAGGAGCCCTTGAAGGATCCCTAAGCCCGAGCAATTATAGATCCAGTTAAAGGAACCGGAAAAAGGAACCCCAAATGCAGTTAAGGGTTTGGGTTTAGGGTTCAGGGTTTAGGGCACAGGTGGCGTCAAGGAGAGGGCGCTTTGGCTCGCGGCTGCGCGTGGACATGGAAATGTGGTGCGACAGCTGCTGAATGCAGGTGGGAGCCTCCGAAAAGATAGGACCTCAGTATACACCCCTAAATACATCGACTACAGACTGTTCTGTACATATATAAGTACATATATATATATATATATGTATACGCACACATGTAATTATACAGATACAGGAAATTATATGTGTGTATGTGTGTATGTATGTGTGTATGTATGTATGTATGTATGTATGTATGTATGTATGTATGTATGTATCTATGTATGTATGTATGTAGGTA